TAAACCAGGCCCGAACGTACCTTGCCAGAGTGCTCAAACTGACAAGTCAGCGAGCTCTGCATAACGCAAACAGCAAAGCCTAAGGCATTACCCCACACGAGAGTGCTGAACTACAGGAGTGATATTTACATGTACTTGTACTTGTATGTATAAAAGCTACGCAGCAATACAACCTTACCCCCAGATCATTGTGAAGACTAAAGACTAGTGAAGAGCAAGCATGCACCTCTTTGACCGGAATCGCTCATGCCTCCTGTTTAAATGACATGACATGAGGTGAGGATGTTGAAGAGGACAGCTGATGTCTTGCCAGGAGATGACGTCGCCTTGGTCTGTGCTGAGCGGAACAGGACGAAGAATAGAGCCCCGTGAGATTGTGCTTGGGCCAGTTGGGGATGACGGACTTGATATTGGACTTTACGGCAGAATATAAACCATACTTTGAAGTACTTCTGAGTTCTGTAGAAGCTGCTCAAACAGCATCTGTATCACACGGAAACCCTACACACCATCCTAAAAAAAGTGATCTCTTCGCTGCAAATGCCTATTTTCTCAATCAAATTTTGCGCCAGGCCAGGAGCCATTGTCAGGACCTGACGATGTCTCCTGGCCCAGAGGTTGAGAGGGGCAGGGGTTTCCGTGTAATGAAGTGGCTGCAGTGGAGCTTCCGCCCCTTATTAAGAAAAGAAACTTTACCGCTAACAGATTCGCTATGTACACGAACAACAGTTTAGCCAGGACTTGATTTCTAGCTTTAGTACCGTGCCACGAGTGATAGGTTTCCTAGTTCTTTGCAAGATTGGTGAACACTAGATTTCCTGGAAGGGAGTGACACGAAGAAGATGGATCCCATCATGGGGTCGAGAGAATTATAACGCCTGCTCCGCTAGGCAGTATGTTGTTGTGTCGCTAGGCAGTATGTTGTTGTGTCGCTAGGCAGTATGTTGTTCGCTAGGCAGTATGTTGTTCACTTTACTTAAAAGTCTTAGCAATCTGACGAGTGCTGTTAGGCAGGAGTGTTTCGATGCAAACAGCACTGTAGGATAATAAATATGCAAAGACTATACCTTTCCACCATAGCGTGGTGTGTGAGGAGTACCCAATATCACACAGGTGCTGTAATGTATAAAGGACCTATTGAAGTACGAAGGCCACGATAGGAAAACACTACACACCACGTGACCAGCATAGTTAGCAGGGGGAACACTTACATCTACATGTGTGAGAGGCAGGCTTGTGCTTGAGAATCAGTTGAAATGGAGTTTGTGATGAAGAAAGAAGGATGTTCGACTCGGATGGTGAGCCAATTAAATCATGGTGAAAAGGAGAAGGACAAAATGTTACGAGTCATGACTAACTGTCCACCAACGTAACCAGATCTCATACCGTCAGCGAGTGCGACAAAATGGCACACAACTGACAAGGAGTACTGAGACATTCAGCGACCTGACACGGATAATGCGTCCTTAAATCTCTTAATGATATGATGCGAGAGCTGCAGAGATGCTACACACTGTAATACTACAGTACTGGAGCTGATGATAATGATGATACGAGGAACTGTTCAATGCCATGTGTGCTATGCACCGTTGTGCACACTCCCCTGTGTATGCGTCACGTAAACACCAGTACAATGCAAACAGAATATGCTTATCATGCGGCAACACTACTATTGCCGGCTAATAGGATGATTTGGCATGGGGTGCCGGGAATACTTAGTTTCAGAGCCACATTTCACTGGCACAGGTGTTTGAGTAGTAATACTTTCACCTGCTTTGGTCTGCCAGCTGATGACGTAGGTTTGTGAGGACTGCCACCATTCCCGGAGGTGGGCGGCCAAAACGTTCACTTCCAACTGCCATCACTTCAATCTTCTACTTTCGCCTCATAACAATTAGCCACGCATTTGTTCCGAACTTTATACCGATAGAATGATCCAAACCATCCGTATCCGACGAACATGTATAATATGACCATGTCATTCGCAACCATCTAAACTCCGCAGGTGAATGTTCTTCAGTAAGCGTTAATTGTGCGTTCTTGCAAGTTGCCACAGTCTGCCGGCCAAGTAGGTGACAGGCGTAATGGAATCCATTCCAGGAGTATGGGGGTCGCAGGTACACAAGACTCAGTCAAGAGGGATTGTGCTCTGTGTGGGGCCGGTGATGGTGCTGTGAAGTTGCACCGTAAGTGAGCAGTGTCACCGCACAATAGGGCTTGAAAGTGATGACGTCAAAATGGCCAGGGAGTAGTAAGTTGACATCAGATTTCTATTTTTGGATCCACTAAGGTGTGACTTTGCTATTGCCTAAGTATGTGGGTGTATAGCAACCCACTCATGTCGCATGCAGGTGTGACTTTGATTTCGCCACCAGTTGTAACCCCGCCCCCAGTAGTCAAATCAGTCAGTTTCACTGGCTACATCACCATGCTGTGGGTAAGACCGCTTGAAATGTGCTTGGATCCATACAAAAACTGGATCCAAGTGGATCCAGTTTTTGAATTTTTGAAATTGTTGCTATGCTGTGACGTAGCACTTTCAAGCCCTATATCGTGTCACTCAGCCACCATTGATGGCATTGTTGGGCAGAGTTGGAACTTAGAGATGGCTGCCTATGACGTCACCAAATATCGTGTCTCGTCCTTAGTTTCGGTCCTCAGCTTTTGTCAATCCAGCAGGGAATAGTGCAATGGGTGTTCCGGGCTATCCTGTCACTTCTCGATTCGTCCAGTGCTGTCATACTGCAGAGCAACCGATCATCAGAATGATGACGTCATAGTAGTAAGCAGGATCAAGGCCTTTCACTTTCAGCTACTGACCTGACGTGTTGGATAGCTGGGCACGGCTGGTTTAGCCGCCGCCGGGGTAGGAGGTGCTAAACTCGCGCCGTAAACACTCCCAACTGCCAGGCAACCCGCAATCACATTTTAATACTGCGTGGATTGTGCATGCAGGGATCAGTGTAGATTTACCGTGGCCCCTATTGGGTCAATCGGGTCTTATAATGAACGATGATCATAACATCCTTCTCCACCGCAAGTAACTAATACTTCTCTGGAAAGGTCTGTGGGACTGTTGAAGGTTTCGCTTCTACGTTGCAGTTCATATTACCGACGTCTAATAGATCACACACCACCCAATACTACTGGTACTAGACCTCGTTGGCCCTAGTACGTATTGTGTGTATGTATCTTGCAGTGTATAGTTGCAGTGTATATGTAATCAAAGGAGCGACCGTTTGCCTAGCATAATAGCACCCCATGCGGCAATGCACACATACATGTACATGTAGTTCATTAGTTACCTATTTTGGTCTTTGCCTATGTGTTGTTCAGCAGTGGGAACAGCGCGCAGTTCTCACAGATCTGCAATGCATATACTTGGCCAAGCACTGGCATGCTAGCAGCTATTCAGTGTGACCCTTTTTAATGTGAAGCACACACCACACGCCTATCAGGTCAGTAGTAATGCAGCTAGCTCAAAACCACCAGACTAATACTTACTGGAGCGAATTCATCTGCGACTAACTCGCTGCACCCATTAAGTACAAATACAATACAATACTACTAGTGTCGTACTAACAGTACACATTGTGTCATGCACGGAACAGTACACACGTGTCATGCACGGTATACATGTAGTCGTGGCAAATACCATCAGCCTCAGCTCGAAGACATCGACACTGGACGAACTCCATTATCTATGGTGTATACGTAAGAGATTGCCAAACGAGCTCAACCTTCTTGTTCCCTCTATTCCCTCTATTCCCTCTATTCCCTCTTTTTCTCCCTCGCTCTCATGTTCTCTTTCTTTCTCTCTCATTATCTCACTCTTTCTCTTTCTTGTTCTCTCTCTCTCTCTCTCTCTCTCTCTCTCTCTCTCTCTCTCTCTCTCTCTCTCTCTCTCTCTCTCTCTCTCTCTCTCTCTCACACACACACACACACACACACACACACACACACACACACACACACACACACACACACACACACACACACACACACACACACACACACACACACACACACACACACTCTCTCTCTCTCTCTCTCGTTTCTTATGCATACTGACTCATGTCGATACATTGTAATTCGGTGCAGGCAAAAAGTAACCACGGCGCAGGCCAGTCAGCTCTGCTGCGGCCAAGGTAGATGCATGTACATGTGGGCAAGTACTCATTATGTAGGTGTATACAATCATGATGCCAACGCACCAGCTGCATGACTGGATTGTGCTACTCTTCTAAGCACTGCTCCCACAAATAATTGTGACCACTGTGAAGTGTAAACAGCATAACATTATTTTAACACTACGTATCATATCATCATTGCTATCATGTATAATAATAATTATGTGTGTGTGTTTTCCTCACTGGCGGGCCAGTACCCTCTTTCTGTTTACCCCTGTTTACCTCAGTCAGCAAGAATTTAGCAGTGCAAGTGAGTCACGTTTCCTCGCTCCCATGTGTGACCTCGCAGCAAAACAAAACAATGGCCAAGAACGACACACAAGTGCCAAGGTTCGGACAAGTCGAAGATGTCGTGCGGATTGCCTGTAAACCACATCGTGCCCTTCACCTGGCATAGCTAGCCATGTCCAGGCACAAATCACGTGCTGAATGGAGCTTTCTACTGTAGCCAGTGTGGGACCTTTGTCAGCTGAGCCGTCTCCGGAGCTAGCACTCGCACACTGCACACATAGACCAGTGCACCGGCTAGCGGCTGATGATCGCGACCGAACTGCCCTGTCCGATTGGGAGGAGTGCACATCGTTCTCTCGACCGCATGCGGCCGGGCAGGACTGTCAACAGGCCTGGGAATCGCAGATGCTGCTGGACAGCAGTGCAGACAATCAGCTGAAGCTGGGAAGGTCCAGCGGCAGACCTCTCTCCTGCAAAGCTATGCTGGCTACTGCTGATCCGATATCCAGGCGATATTGTGAACCATCATTCTACATTGTCCAAGCCAAGGCTCACATCAACACTACAAGGCTGCATGTGCAGGAAAAATCAAACTCAAAGCCCGCATCAACACTTCAGCACTTGCTTGCTACTTACTAGCCTCGAGGAGGCCCTACTTCAGTGAATCGCAGTCGCCAGGTAAAGTGCAATATTTGTAGGGCAGCTGAAACAGATTCTGCCTCACCTAGGCATCAGGCGGGTAGGAGGGAGTCGGTAAACATTCGCAGTGAAGTCTATTGATATGGGCGTGATGAGGTAGTGGTGTAGGTCGGTGGTTTGTGAATCACTCTCTAGCCGCGCTAGAGTTACTGATGTAATCACACGACTACGTCGACCCTAGCGTTAATCTTTGTAGCATCTTTTCCTTCGCCGGGATCAAATTGTGACCGAATTAGAAGAAAAACACAGGAGAATGACATCCGGATGAACGAGAACGCATCAATACCCAACAATTCCCATCTGGTCAAAGGGTTGGCGAGCAAGGCGAATGGAGAAGCTTCAAACGCTGAGAGAATTGACAGCGATGGGATGACGGGTGAGAAGCTGGTTCATTTGTTTATCCTTTCGCTTTTCCCGAAGTCCGTTTTCATTGCGAATGGAGCACACATTTTGATTTCTTTATCTGGCGTTCCCAGGACTATCAACCTCCATAAAGTAAAGTTCGAATAATTTGTTGTGGCCGTTGTTTTCTCCAGGTAACAATGAAAAGATCAATGCGTCTGTCAAAGGCGAGCAAAGACTTTCCACTGAAATCGAGCCAATGATCTATGGGACAGCGGACGGAGACGAAGACAGTGAAGGCACTGATGAAGAGCCGGGAGAACACCCCGGAGACGCTAAAGTCGCCCAGCATGTCGAGGCCGAAGGACGGCCTATTTCTGACGTGTCCGAGATCAGCCTGACAGTGAAGCTACCGGCATCGGGCAGCCCTGCATCACGAGCTAACAGTGCTCATGCCGACTTTCACGACAATCCCAGGGCCACCACTGACGGAGATGATCGGTTTAGTCGTGGCAAGCACCGGCAGACTCAAAGTGCTGCGTATCGCCAACTGTATCAATCACCATCAGGTCTTCGATCATACAGGAACCTTTCAGAACAACTGGGATCCAGAGATATACACAAGTCCAACTCATCACTCCAGTCTAGTGACATGCCATTGGATTTCGAAGGTGGAACACCTCAAGGCTCTCCTTTCCTGTTCACGAGTCCATCTGGGTCGGCCAATATTGGCCGAAAACGCGCCCAGTCATCCAGCCCAATCTCCATTGACAGTGGCATGGATATGAATAGGTTCATGCAGTCACCAGCTTCACTATCAACCTACATGATGCCGGGTGGCCTGACAGATTCCAGGGGATCACTGGCACCACTGACCCAGACTCCATCACTACAGTCTCCGGTTCATCTTCATCTTGCGCAAGGCCAAAGCCAGTCGCTCGCAGGCTATTCACCCATGAACCGAGCATCTGCTGCTGGTCGACCAGAGAGTCGTCGAGGTAAGACTCTAGAGTCACTTGCAGAGCATGATGCTGATAGTGAGCTGGGCAATGAAGATCCTAAAGACACGAAAACTGTGTCGGCCAGATCGCCTGAGCCCAGCGTGCAAGATGTGGATCAGCAATCCGAGTGCGAGGCAGCCATGTCACATGTGTCGGAAATGAGCCATGCAGATGCCAGGTCTGCTGTTGATGAGACGCAGCAAGAACAACAATCACTCTGCCAGGCAGCTGGGGAAAACAAACAGAGTTTCTCCCAGGGAACATTGGCTCAGCACTCACACATGGGACACAGCTGGAGCAGTGGAGCAAATCTGTCCACCGAGCAGGGAGAAGAAGGGCAAAAACCAGTCAGGCCTGCAAACAAACGACTCAACAGCCAAGAGTCTGCAACAAGTGAAACGCCTGCTGAGGATTTGAGCCCGGAGAAAGAAAGAGGTGAAGGAGATGTGGATACCCCAGAGCCTATCTGCTGCTGGGCAGACTGCAGCAAGCACTTTGCTCAAACGGTAAGCTACCATTATCTTACTTTTTGTTGTCGGAGGGCTCTGCCCTTTCTGTAGATTTGGTCCTGTGTCGAACCCTATGTGTGATTTGGTAGTTTCAAAGTATAGTTGTACAAGATGGTATCAGGTGGTTCAGGTGTGGCAAGAAGATTAACTGTTTGGAAAGGGCTGTATGCCAGGAGACTACTACTGAGCTTATGCCATCAGATGTGTTGTGGTAATGGGTGGCAATGTAGTGGTAGGAGGCCTAAAACAGTATTTTGGGTGGCTTGGCCAAGACAATAGAACTGTTGCAGGACAAATGCAGGGGCAGATCCAGGAGGGGTTCCAGGGGTTCTGTGGAACCCCCCAAATTTCGTAAATGTACTACTGGTAACCATATGCGTGTCCATGTACATGTATCAGCTATTCAGTTTTGACTATACTGGAACCCCCCTGTAGAGATCGTTGGATCCGCCGCTGAAATGATATGGTCAGGTTGCATGTGGCTACTAGAGATTCCTCCGTCCACATCTCCAGTTTCGCACAGCAAGATAGAAGTTTGTATAAAATACCATCGACTCGGGATAAAATGAACACTAATGTGCGGGAGAATTAGCTCTTTATAACAGAAATGCGCTCACACTTTACAAGCAACATGCCATGCCTAGCACGCTGCCTGTAACTGCATGGGTGTACTTGTTTACATACTCCCGAAAAAGATATGGTTTGTTACAAACAAAAGAGTTCGCTACAAGGGGTCAATCCTAGTATGGGTTAAGCCAGGGACAGGGACAGTGGCTCTCTACATCGCGAAATTCGCCACATCCGAGTTTGTTATGGGTTGAGTCGACTGTATATCAAACTATGTCATGATCACCCTTGCTCAACTGTAACTGTGAGTGGCAAAAGACAATACTCTCACTCGCCATTGACCAGGTACATACACGTACGTTTTGGCATCTCACCAGGCATGCAATGGTATCTGAAGTCTCTCACCTGTGTTCTAGTTGTTACCAACTGCTAAGCAACCAGTGTTAAGTGTAAGCTTAGCGAACATCGCCTCTCCTTTTTGCAATAGTTTCAGTCATCAGACGCTTTTCACCAGTCGAAGCACAGCACGCTATGTAGCTGGAGCACTTCACTATCTTCACAGCAACAACAAGGAACAGAAATCAAGAGGCGAATGTAGCACTCAATGTTTCTTCGGCATGAAATGCTAAAATATAATGCTAAAATATAGAAACTACTTTGACCCGTCAATATGAGCGATACCTCGGCCCCTTTCGAATTGTACTAAGTTGTTCTTTCAGAAGTGTGGTGTTCCAGAGTCATAATAATTTATATTGTACGTTTAGCCCTTTGGTTGATGTGAACAAAGAGTATCCATCTACAGTCAAATCTGTCGTAAGCGACCGCCCCTTGGTGCAAGAAAAAGCGGTCTCTTACGGCAGATGGTCTCTTACGGCAGATGTATGATAAATCCGGCATACCGGGCATGCATACCGGTATATGGTTCCATGTACTCAAATCGACGAGAGTAATGTCATTTTTAATATCGTTTTTAATAATTATCATTTTATTGGATATTCAATAGAATATAGGGGTGCCAGGGCCAGTCGATCGCACTTGCAAGACAGCGCATTTTCACACCTTGCAGTTGACAGCGCACTGGCAAGTACGTACAGTTTCGCACCTGACTGAACGTGGGTCGCGGTCGCTTACAGCAGATTTGAATGCAGCCACCGTGCATGAAATCCCGGTCGCTGGTTGCGCACAGCAGATGGTCGCTCTGGACAGATCAATTTGTATGTGATACCGTGGGTGCACGGAAAATCGGTCGCTATTGGTAGATAGTCGCCTACAGCAGAGGTCGCTAACGGCAGATTTGACTGTTTTTCCTGGAGGTTAATCCGAGTTCTGCTCCTCTGGAGCAACAGGACTGAACAAGCAATGCATACCATGATTGCTGTGTTCATTCAACACAGTCACAGGTCTAAAGTAATGACTTAGAGACACACTGTTGGTTGAATGCAAGACAAGAGCAAGGAGTCAAAAATCTAAGATGAATTTTGGCCTTTGGATCCTTCATCCTGTGCAGTCATGGAGGATCATCCCTAGGGTTCCCTGGAAGGGTCGCACTGTATCAAGAAAAAGTAGTAGACTTTTGAAGTAGCTGATGGCAACCAGCCTACTCTGTTACCTGTATGTCGGTCGCGTTTAAACCTGTCATATCAGCACTTGCAGCTAATAGTTGCAGATATAGAAAACAAAGTGTTTTGCTCGCAGGCATCATGAAGGTAGCTGATTGCTGTAGCAATTCAGCCGCAGTTGTGCAATGGCACACAAGGCATGGGTTTGTACATGCATACTTCACGTATGAACAGAGTAGCACGTGCTGCGAAAGCTTCCTAGGATTGTAATTGCAAGGCTCTTAGCTAACCTACAGGCACAGAGACAAAGACGAAAACCCTACACACTCCACGGGTGGCAATAATTGGTTTTGCAACAAGACAAAAGAAGTGCCCGAATTTGCCAGACCATCGGCCGACCAAATTGTTTACCACAAGAAATGAACACAATGCTCAATGTGTAGCAAGCCTGCATATGGCTTTGTTTGTGAAAATAATATAATTATGACATCACAGATTGAATTTCAGTGACTTCACAAGCACTGTTTCAGTGTTGCCATTGTTGGATCAATGCGAATGGCTCAGTCATCCCGGTCTGCAATTTATAACTTTTAAAAGAAGTTCTTGCCTCGGGGCTGATGTTGAGATTCATTTAGGAGTGAGATGTTCTGGACCGTCTGAGAGGATTTAGATGAGAATGTTACTGCCATTGCTAGCACATGGACCCTTGGTAAATGACAGCAAGCAACTCAACTGTGGTAATGCTGCAGGCCTGCGTGGACCGTCATCAGATTGTGATGATCGGTACAGAATGTATGCCTTCTTTTCGCAATCTTCCAATAATCGAGTGTACTGATTGCGAAAGTGTGCATAGTGTTCAGCGCACTGCTGCTGATAACTGCATGGATACATGAATCTCGCATAGGCCTAAGTTATCAGCACCGGGAGACAATGATGTTGTTTATCACCCAGCCACAACAGAGTTCTGCTCCGCTGCAAATGCGAACAATTGAACTGGCCTCCTAGAGCCTCTGTCTCCCTCTCCATTGTAATCGCAGGTGTGTTTGTCAGTTTGTCAGTCTGCCTTGTATCAAAATGATAATAGGGAGGTTTCGCTCTACGCAAGTACTTGGGAAATTCCGTATGCCGCACGCGCCGGGGACCGAGGGCAACTTTCATACGTAAATCTATCTATGGATTTCTGTAGGAAAGCTCTTTCCTACGTTCCCTCCTCCGTTGGACTTTTTGAAATATTATGTTTTTGCATTTTCCGGATTTATACATGGCAGCATTCATTTTAAGCCGCGCGAAACACAAGTATTAGTTCCACAAAACACATGGAAAACACCATGGAGAATGTGGTTTAGTTTCGTGGTGCATGTGATCGGCGCACGCAGCCGACGCCTCTCCAACACAACAAGGCATGCTGGCAGTCATGGAGAAATCACGTGGAGCGAAACCCAACAACATGGATTTTTACGTACTGTATGAAGATTATTTTAAGTTATTTTCATACGTAATTACACAGAGTGAAACCTCCCTAGTATCTTTGCCGCTTTTACGAACAGTTCATACAAGCACTTATGTATACATAATTACTTGTATATGGTGGATATACACGGACATGTACATGTAGAATTACAGATGCTGACATGCTGATGAAAAGTGATTATGATGAGGTGTACAATGTGTACATGTTTGGAAGCAATGTCTACATGGCATAGCAATGTCTACATGGCATAGCACACAGGGTATTGCATTGTAGCATAGCCCAAGGATATTCGCAATCTGCAGGGGTGAATTCACTAGTGCTGTTTAGTCCTGATACTCAGAGCTCAAGGATGTCGGTACCTAACTAGCTACACGTGTAGGTATACTCAGTGTTGGCCTCTGATTCAAAGCATCGCACATTCCTATCTGACTGAAATGCGTTAAGTGCTGCGTCACTGGCTACTCGGGACCTGAGTCAGTGATGTGCCAGCATACACTGAACTGTAATGAGGCAGGGTACAGGGCTTGTCAGCACCCATCTATCTCCACCTCGTGACTCGGGCCTAGCACTAAAATGTAAAATGGCATGGTTTGTCTGCACCAAGGTCTACCTCATGGTGTACAGAGGCTCAGGGCTATAGCAGGACTTGAGAGACTCTTGGAAAGCTCTTCCATTGATTAGGCAGGTAGGGGAGTTGTCAAGCCCATTGTGTCGTGCAGTACCAGAAAACAATGGTAAAGAGCCTACCGTGGTGCAGGGCCAAGTACGTGATTATGTTAAAGGTTGAAGCTGCACACATCTGCCCCTAGCAACGGAGCAGAAGGTGACCTCAGCCTGGAGGCGGACACCATGTGGTGATAACTGAAGATCATTGTGTCCATCAGCAGAGTGTACTAGTGGCTCACCAACACACACTGTCATATTGGTGTGGATGAGGTATCGCAGTGTTCTAGAGAAGTGTTCTGTATGGCACTGAGGTAGCATTCCAGATAAAAATCTAGATGGGGACCCGCTGCCCTCGCGCTCAATTAATATTTCTCCTGCAGCTGCCCACCACCCTGAATCCTATCAAACTTACTTGATAATTCGATTTGCGCCATACATGTTTTCAGTGTGACAAGACTTGTTTGCGAACAGTAGTGCCCGCAGGCACATTCACACGACAGCACTTCACCATCATTCAAGCCTCAATCAGAGTTACTGACGCAGGAATGGGACACGCCGCCGAAAATGGCATGGCATGCTCTCAGGTCTTATTCCTCCTGATCCTAGCTGGCAGGAATGCAGTCTACATGTTGTAGTCCAGTTCAGATCCCCTCCCAACACCACCACCATCACCAACCACCATCACCCCTGTCACATTTAATTATGCTAATACTATGACTACATGACGGTGGACACGGGCTACAACCTGGTATGTGCTGAAAAGCATATGGCACTTAGTGAACAGTGCCACCATGGATTGCCCCAGGCATGTGGAATGGGCCTGACGGGACAAGTGGAAGACAACAAAATTAATGACAACTAAACAACAACTCATAGGCACGAAAGCAAATAGCTCCCCAAGTTACAATCAACGACCTCACAGGTTGTTCCTTTTATGGCTTGTTGACTGGATTGAAGATGTTTCTCATTTAAATGCTACATTCTGAGATCAAACAGAAACCCACCAGGAAGCAATTAAGATCCTTCTTTATCTGATATACATGTATGGCCCAGTAGTACTTTGCTCCTATGCTTGGAGGTTATTGATATACTATGTATACCGGATTAGTCTAGAGAGGAATTTGGGTGGACACACCTATTCTCAGAACATTGCACATCCGAGCCAGTTCCGTTACTTTACAAAATTTTCAGCATTTGGCCATCGTTGGGTTGCTCTTACCTAACGATGGCCAAGTGCCAAAACATTGTAAAGGAACGGAACTAGCTCGGATGTGCAGTGTTCTGGCCAAAGGAACTGTTCAAGCTTATACCGTCTTTCTCGGCAAATGAAGCTAGGAGAAGCCTCCACACTTCTACAGAGTGTGTAGCCTGTTGGAACGATTTCTGTGTGCATACATGTCATGCCCGTCAGTAGGGGTTCAGTGAATCCGGAATAATAGTATCCCGGTGGTTCTCGAAACAACTCAAGCTATGTACCCTTTGTTCGTATTGCTCATGACCTGTGTAGAGGCAAGGCTCTAGCGACGTCGTAAACAGGGACAGGGCGCTTTTTAGCAGGACTATACAACCTGAACAACATGCAGGTTCCACTCAACGGAGAGCGGGATCCTTTCGGATTCTGCCGCAGGGTTGTTGCTGCCTATTGATGGATCCCCACATAGTCATTCCTGTTTTGTGCCCTGACTTACATTGCTGTACATTGTGTGTGGCTACTGAAACATCCACTGCAGGAGGACCTGGTTACACATGTCAATAGTGTGCACATCGAAGGGCAGAAGAAGGAGATTATCTGTTGGTGGGCAGACTGCCAACGCCAGCAGAAGCCGTTCAAAGCGCAGTACATGCTGGTGGTGCACATGAGACGACACACCGGCGAAAGACCACATGTTTGCCACGTAAGTGAAATCCAGGCCAGTACAGTCAATTCCGCACACTTTGATGCCGGCCTGGCCAATCCAGTTCACTATGATCTCCATCAAGCTAACCCACTAAATACACTTGCACTGCAGCCATAGCAACCATCACATGATACTGCCACCACAGAGATGTGGCAAGGTATTTAGGTCAGTACGGCCAGCCATTGTAGGAGCCAGTCCGGTAGACCCTCCCTTAACATCTTCAACTTGAAATGTAGACCCAAAATCACTGTGTTTCATTAATTCACGCAGTGCCTGGGGTGATTGCCTGATAGGTGGTACAGGCGAAACCTTTGTGACTGTAGCGTGTGCCACGCCCCTGCATCTGATTAGCCTCTATGACTTTTAATTGAAACCATTACCGCCATAAGAGACAACAGCTGTTTTGAGAGGTCACTCATCCGTCTAGGGTCCCTCAACCCAAACACTCAAACAGGGTCACTGTGCTGCATGCACAGGCCAGAAAATTTGGTGAAAAATTCAAGTGACGTACGCAGCGAAGAGACCGGCTTGTTTGAGTCTTTGATATGAGGGACCTTAAAGTGTAAATGACTGCAAGAGAGTCTGCGAGTACTTAGACAAGTTTACACTCATCCCTTTCTCAATTATACCGGCATGCCTCAAAATCTATGCCGCTGAGCTGCCAGTGTGTAAAGACCAACTAACTCTAAAGACTACTCTCCTGTGTACAATGGAGTGCTGTTGGTCACACGATCAACAGGTCTGATTTTACTTGCACTAACTTGCATATCATAATATTACTTCCTTCCTCAAACCAGACTGATCAGGTTTCCATTATTCTCACACATCCTACTAATTGGTCAATTCGTATTTCTTAATTCCTTAGCCTTCTCCTGGGCATCAGGTTGCAATAATGGCATTTCCCGTGCCAAGGACACCACTGTATAACCCCACTCACTCTTGTCCTCCTGGCTTAGCCACACTCCAGACTGAACTGTGTTCAGGACGAATCGAGCACTCGGATGCAATACTGGAACAGACCCTGCCGAATTTTGTTCTGCATTAGAGCATCCATGCAGGTCCCTTCATCCCATTCTTCTAACTTCCATTCCCTGGATCACCACTCTTACTTCCTGTCATAAACCGTTTACCAGTGGTTACATGCCCTGAGCTCACCACTATACATGGAACGTAGCTGCAATTTCTGTTCAGGCTACTCATGTAAACGTTTCTTGTAGTGAGTTCCATCAGCCTAGCCAGGACAATCTAGTGGTCTTAACCAGGCTGATGGAATGCACTACAGTCGACACCTTAGCATACATAGCACAAAATATGCCTCTTCCCTCTCTTCTACCTTATCTATCCTTTGCCTTCAGTAGCGTACCTGGGGGGGGGGGGGGGGGGGTGCTTTGGGTGCTCAAGCACCCCTCAAATGTCCCGACCTAGGCCCGCTTCATACACCCGTGCCACTAAACGCACCATAGCTATGCAACCGATGGTCAGATTTACGCAAAAGATGGCTCAATGGGAAGGTCTTGGGTGAGGCAATCCACTGAAATGTGATTGAATTTGATATTAAAAGGAACTATAATTGTGCCCAGACTCTGAAAGAAGAAAGCTATTGGAGATATCATGAAGCTGACTCTTTCCCATAAACACATTTTTGGCAGCATTACTTTTAAGGAAAAATCATAACTTAAAGGTTGTGATTTTTCCAAGTGAAATATGATGTTGCTTTCCACTCACTGTCTATGTCACTATGGATAGCTGACCATTATAATTATTATATGACGTCCATGTATGATGACAGGGTCAAGGGCCCTTGAGTTCCTAAAAAATGCTTTAGTTTCTACAGTGGCTTCCAAAGGGGGCGCTGCCCCTCCTCCCCCCCCCCCCCTCAGCCGGTGGCCAGCCCAGACCCCGTTTCTGCTTTCTACCAACAGAAAAGTGGCAGCCTTCTACTATGTATGCGAAACTATGACCGTACATTGTAATTGCTTCCTCGATTACTGGCTCTATACCAGAAATTGTACTGGCAATTTTGCCTCCTTGCCCTTTCAATTGGTACAGTCTTGTTATTTCACTTCAAAGTACAATAGCTTTTTAATATTTTGTAAGAGAACTGTACTCTTGGATCTACATGACTGTATCTTTGCAGTCAGTACATTTGTCCTGCAAAGGGAGGGGTATGCTTGGGATTGGGCACTTCAAGGCCTAAGTGTTGCTCAATCCTACAGAATCAGCCCCACACTTTCCCTCGCAAATAGCGCGCTGAAACTGACCGATATCAAACGGGGATTAGTACAGTATTGTACTACTCCCGGATATCAACCATCCATACGTCGTATGCACAGGGATAACGAATTCAGTCATCTGAAAAGAAACAAAGCTGGAGCACCCCCCCCCCCCCCCCCCTCTTGCGAAATAAGACAACCATCATCATCATACACAACATGATGTTGCAATACGGCAGGCCTGCCGCTTACATTTGTGTACGTTCATCTTCTCTGTGACTCGGCTTGCAGCACGAAGGTTGCAACAAGGCATACTCGCGATTGGAGAATCTGAAAACACACATGAGATCGCACAGCGGAGAGCGGCCTTACCTCTGTCAGTACTGCCAGAAAAGCTTCACCAATGCGTCGGACAGGGCCAAGCATCAGAACCGAACACACTCCAGTGATGTAAGTCAAAATCTTCCACACCTGGTTTGAAGCGGTAGAAGTGTGCATGGCAGTGCAATTCGTATGTGGCACATTCTCCCATTCAGCAGATTAAACAGTCCTCTTTCATTACAATAGTAGCGGCGGGGTACTTACGCCAGCACAGTGCCACTGATACACGTAGTAGAGTCAAGCGAGTGAATGCAACGCTGGGAGCTTTGCCGCCCTAGTTTTGTGAGCACTGGGGTGTTGACTGGTGCAGGGCGCACGCTCGATTCACGCCATCGGATTGCATTGAGCAGAGTTGTATGTGCGTAGGGTGAGTCGGAGAGAAGCCCAGCCTCAGCCAACTGCGTGGTGTACATTAAGTACATGGACTGTCCTGCACAAAACCTAGCTGTTATACAGACTTATTTTGAATTCAATCCTGATCTTGAAAACAGGCATTTGAAGACATAGCTTGGATTTCCTGTCAACCGTATTCTCTGGAACTTTTAAAAGGCAAAGTGGAGCACTATGTCCCCTCCTCTCTTTTGGCCAAACTCGTGGACCACCCAAAGTGTGCTTGATGTAATACGTTGTATAATCAAGGTAATACAATCATTGGGAACCCGGGACTTTGAGTCCAACACAATGCACCCGGTGTGTGCACCGTACCAAGCTACGCAGTCTGAAATGCAGTGGTCCTGGTTCAATTGAAGCATAACCCTCTCGTAAATGTGCAAAAGGACACTACAGGCCGCTACATATGCAACTTTGCACAGCATGGGAAGGTGGGAAGTAGTCTCAACAACAGGTGCCTTTTACCCTTTCATGCTATGCATGTCTACCATCATGCTACTACTATGATGCATGTCTACCATCATGCTATGCATGCCTACCATCATGCTTGCATGTCTACCCATCATGCTATGTATGTCTACCATCATGCTTGCATGTCTACCATCATGCTATGCATGTCTACCATCATGCTTGCATGTCTACCCATCATGCATGCAACAATGTACAAGTACACTGCAGCCACCCCGTTGTACTCATAGTAGTGGTGAAACGAATATTCGAACATTCGTTTGGTTCGTCACATTCGAATATTCGTTAAGTCACATTCGAGTATTCGTGACATCATTTCGAATGCAGTGCACGTACATACCGTAAAGTATCGTTGATCCGCCCCCTCTCTAATTCCCGCCCCCTGTCGATTTTCTACCTGTGAAGCGATTTCGCCGTATACAACGATGTTGAACCGACAATTGCACTGCTGTACACAAAACGTGCCATTCCAGGATGAAAATGTGCACAATTCAGCACATCGAGTCTGATCCTCCACGTTGTTGTACATCGTACTGCACTTGACGGCCTTGATCTAATTCCCGCCCCCTGCCAAAAACCCAGCTGGGAAGCGACATGGCGTGGGGGGGGGGGGTCAACGGTACTTTACGGTACATGCACACCGAACACAGTACAGTGCAGTGCGTACAGCCTGCCTGTGACATTGTACTGCATGTTTGCACATGTATGTGCATACTGGACTGCCAATGTTGCACATAACATGTATGAACTTCGAAGTAGCCTTCTGTGGCAATGCATTTTATGTGGCACAACCGTTTGTCATGCCTAATATTAATAATGGCAATATCCATCAAATGACTGAGAGGAGGGCATGTGATGTCATCTGTGTTACCAAAAGAATAATCGTATGTTCGTTCGTTAAGCCAAAGAATATTCGGCTACTGGGTTTTGATATTCGCTTCACCACTAAGTCATAGTCCAAACTTCTCACTGGTGTGCCTGTGTCCATTTGTGTCCATGTGTGTCCATGTGTACCTCTCAGAAACCCTATCGCTGTCCGAATGAGGGCTGCATAAAGGCCTACACCGATCCAAGTTCACTGAGAAAGCACCGGAAGAACTGCGTGCAGGGCACAATCAAGAAGGTATGTGGCATTCTCTTGATTGTTGCCGGACAAGCCTTCTCATGTTCACAGTTAGTCACCAAGGAGGTCATCATCCTTAGCCTGTATTCATTGTATGCAGAGATGATCCAACTGACTCACATCACAGTTCACACAAGTTCACATGATAGACAAACCAGTACTTCAGTACTTGCGATGTCATTCCACACCTCAACATCAACGGTCAGTGGCGTGCACCGAGTCTTGAAAGGGGGGTTTCTAGAGTTTGTATTTTTTTCTGGAGACCCACTTTATGTATTTGTGCACATGCGCATCCCCGAACATCCCCTCGGAGATAACGACGAGGGCTAGGGAGGAGGCTAGGGGGGGGGGGACTCAAGATCAGGGGTGCAGGGCACCAATGAACACTGGTGCTGATCAGATGCGGGGCTCGTCCGACTGCTATCATCAGATCATGCCGGCACAAACGCGTCTGAGAGGGCACCAGGTGCAGGGGTAGAAAGGACAGAAATAAGAGTAACGAGGAATGGAGGGAGGGGACGATGTTACATGGAAATGTTGGTACATGTATAACCGGTAGCAGGATAAAACGGGTACGGGTTACCTTTTACATACCAGCACTTCAAAACGTATTTGCAAAGAGGGTGCAACAGACTAAGTCAATGTACTCATATACATGTTTGTCATATTGAACCGGCCGTAAAAGTTTGATAGGCCTAGCCGCCCAGGCTACATGTACATGTATACAATGTACACTACAGTCTATAACTTATAACTGTATAACACTATGTCTATGGTACTTCACTAGTCCACTCCATGCAGGCATGTTTGTTTCATCAAAACACTGCTTACATTCGACGTATCTTTCTTTCTGTTCTTATGACGAAGTTTTCGGTATGTATTGGCAATGTTCCACATGATTTCAATAAAGAGTTATGGACCTTGCTTCGATGGAAGCTCGCGGGAGAAAAGCGAAGCCCCGCATCCTTGAGTCGCGGCCGGAGCAGCGCTTCGTTCTGAAGCAGCGCAAGTGGATCATGGACGCACATTCGTACGTCTTCCAGTCAACAACGTTTTTGACGAACATCTCTGCTGCGCACATGAGCGAGAACGAAAGGCTGTCATCTTGATTTGAGTCAACAGTTTGGAAGGAGATATCGTCAATCATATCCTTGAACTGACTTGCATCGCGCGTGCTTGACTCAAATTTCGAGACAAAACGGGTTTCTTGAACGTCATCGCCAATCCAGGAGCGAACCAGAGCTAGAGATCGATCTCTCTGTGGCTACTCTCTACTGAAGAAAGAGAGAATAATGTATTTTGAACTGCATGCAAAGCAACCGACGCGTATTCAGGATAAAACTCCAGTACGAGCGTAGGCACGCTTTTCCTTTGGCAAGATTGCCCGAAAAAAAGTGGTTTCCAGACACCAAACAACTCATACGGTGCACGCGCCTGATGGTGATGGTGATGATGATGGTGATGGTGATGATGATGATGATGATGTGACTGACTAACGTTACAATCTATAGATGGCCAGGTAGCATGCTAACTAAAGGATGCTGCTGAACAAGACTTCGCTATTTTTTTGCGGCGTTCAGGCTGCACTATTATTTTGGAGACAATTGGCCTAATTCCACCCTGTCATCGTGCTTTATGCACGGGCCATGCCCCATGTAGCTAAAACATGCATGGGTATTCCAGAGTATTAGCCACAAAGGAGACAAAGCCCCCCCCCCCCCCCCGTCGGGTCCAAAATTCGTAATTGTGTTGACATGCAGAGTGTAAGCCGTACACTAGACTGTGAGTGTTTCGGCCATCCGAACTCAACACTCCACTTCAACAAGATCAGGTCAAATGGATGAAGAATGTATAGGTTACGGTACCTATGACATCACTAGTTCAAAACTGAAATGCCACTTGAGAAGCATGACTGAAGTTCTAATAAAAGTTTCTTGGTTTGCGTTTCACTCAAACCCGACAGCAGGTAGAAGCTTTGCTGTAGTGCAAGGATTGATTGCCGGACACGGATCATAGTCAAATGACACCATGCATACAGTATATGCATGGAATGCTGGTCGATTCACACGCAACATTCGGAGTCTACGCCGCAGGGGCAAACGGTTCATATACGATTTGAAATCGAGAAAATTGGGTATAAACTGAAATGCAATATTTGGTGTCCAAAAACGGTGTGTGCTTAGACAAGAGCATGACTAGCGGCTCAGAAAACACTGTGGGGCACACATATCCGGTGATTACTCTACCACACATCCATGGCGACTTGGAGGCAACTGAGCAACCACTTCTCCTGTGTGTGTGTGTGTGTGTGTGTGTGTGTGTGTGTGTGTGTGTGTGTGTGTGTGTGTGTGTGTGTGTGTGTGTGTGTGTGTGTGTGTGTGTGTGTGTGTGTGTGGGTGGGTGTGTGCGTGCGCGTGTGCATGTGTATGTGCGTGCATACGTGTGTTTGTGTCTGTGTGTGTGTGTGGTGTGTCAGGTGTGCATTGGGGGGGGTCGATTCACATGGCTTCGCCAGTTGTGTGGATTAGACAGTTATCTGGCGCTTGTCTTGATCTGTTTCAATCAGAATCAGATCCGCTATCATTGCTATAAAGAGAAAATCTGTGGGTGCACATCCAGTGCATTTGCAGATTTGCGTGCTTCTCTTGCGACGGGCGTTTACATGGTACATGGTACATGGTGTGTGTGTGTGTGTGTGTGTGTGTGTGTGTGTTTGTTTGTTTTCAGCGCCACGAGGAAGAGAATCAAGACACAGGCAGCTCACAGAGGATTCTACCCGACTTGGCTGAAGGTCAACCGGGCCAGGACAAGGTGCATGGTGATTTGGAGTCATCCCATCTATCCTCCAAGGTCACTACCACGAGTAGTGGCAAGAGTGATAAGGGTGGTGCTGCCCGCCAACACAGACACTCCAGGGGCAGGTCAAGTTCAGATACGTCAGCAACAGATGCTACTCCAACTCACAGACCAGTGCCCAATGGGAAACCTGCACCTCAATCAGCAGCTGCGGCATCAGAAGCAGCGACAACAGCAGCAGCAAAGGAGGCCAATTATTCTCCAGCTAATACCAACACAGCAATGCAACAAGACTACAATGCAATCCATGGCAGCAGACCTCCAAACACCAAACTGGAAAGAAACTATGAAGACAGTCAACAGCAGGCTATGAATGGCAGCCTACAAGCCATGCAAGCCATGCATTACCTCAAACACACAAACCAGCACCAGCATAATCTTCAACAACAACCACCTCCACCACCACAACAACAACAGCAACCACCACCACCACAACAGCTGCAACTGGTTCACCCAAACGGAGAGGCCGGTCGGTTGATAGTAGCAAGCGACGGCGGCATACCGACCGGCCATATACCCCACCACCAGTCAACAACTATGATGAAAACAGTAGCAGCAACAGCAGCAGCAACAGCAACAGAACTCACCGCAGCAAGCACAAGAAATACAACACTTGCGCTGCAGCAGCAGCAGCAGCATCACCCCCAGCAACACTACATCTACCCGCAATACAACCCCAGGCACACACAGCAACAGCAGCTCCCACACTATGCTACATCCCTGTCTCACCCTACAAATTCCCTGCAATCCCTGCCGCCGTCCACTATCGAAGCCAACTACCAACATTACCGCACTCGTCACCAACCGCAGCAGCAGCAACAACAACCCAGTACACCCATGTCGCAGCAGCAAACTACACAGCTCATGAGTATGTTTCACCCGGCGGTGGCGGAGGGGGTCAACCAACACAGCGCTTCATACCCACCGCTGCAGTCGGCGGCGCCGTCAGCACTGTCACCGCACCACCACCAGCATCTCCAGCTGCTGCCGCCGCAGCAGCAGCAGCAGCACCAGCTCCAGTCCACTACTATCCCTGGTACGGAAATGCACTACAGCCAGCAACCATTGGTAAGACCAGGATGTATGCTATCCTCGGGGTGCGCAGACTTCACTGTAGTCACCATGTCTGCCAGTAGCGCGGCATAAGCCATAGTGCATTTCAAGCATATAGATGCATAAGCCATAGTGCATTTCAAGCATATAGATGCATTAAACTGCACAAGAGTTCTGCACAGACTTAGTGTCAACAAATCTAAATAGAAGAAGTATGGCCTAGCATCAAGGTAACGAAATCCGTATTATTATGGTTGTGTTATCTAATGGGTACTGAGTCGAACGGTATTGACCCGAGGAGGCTACAAACCTCCGTCTACCATATTATTACGATCTCGAATTCACACACTCCCTCAGGAATTGAAAGCGGTCAGTTGTATTCCCAACTCAACAGCCACCTATACAGGTACATACTCGTATCGCCGGAGTGCAAATGGCCGATGATCAGGGGATGTTTTGTAGTTGCACTCTTGGAAGGCCGTTCATTTGATGCAGAACCCAGAAGATTAAACCTCCAAATTTTGATTTGAGTGAGACTGTCCACAATCCCCTTGCAAATCACCTAAATGTCTGCATGTTGTGAAAGCCACTACACAAATAACTGTCATTAGCCCGAATGACAACCTGACATGCAGTATACAAAGCATACAGATATCTATCCAGTCATGTACTTTGTTGACCATGATGATTCCAATTTTATTTTTGGTCTGAAGTCGCTACTGCGGACTATGCTTCAAGATGGTGGTCGGTACAAAGGGAGTAAACAATGTTCAGTCACTAGCTCCTCTGGTCCTTTACCATGCATGACTAGTTGATATCGTGCAGCTAAAAGGAACACTTGAAAGGGTTGCAGTTCTATGTGTACTTGGCTATGACGGAAGACTCAGCAGTTCTATGTGCACTTGGCTATGGCGGAGGACTCAGATTTCTTCTTTTCTTGTCTATAATCTCTGCAGCTGGACCTCAATTCACTCAATTACAACTCATTACACCCTCAGTCCCTGGAAGCATTACAATTCGACAAGGAGCTGCTATCGGCGGCCAGCCAATACAGCTCCCCTCTCCTGCCGCCACCGGGGTGTTTCCTGCAGCAGCAGCAGCAGCACTTACAGCAGTCACAGCAGTCCAACCCAGTGGGGGCCCTGTCTATGGGACACTTCCCACGTGCCACTGGCCTGCAAAGGAGCAATAGCGACACGAGCATGCCGGGCGAGGCCGATGACTTGCTCTCACGGCATGGCCGCCTCAGTCACCGCAGTAGCCTGGACTACGGCAGCGACATCAGTCGCAGAAGCAGCGATCCCAGTATCCTGACGCCGTACCTGAACAACAGTCGCCGTTCCAGTACCAGTAGTGTTTACTCTAGCGCAGCGCCGACCAGTAGCCTGGACGCCAAACCAGCGGACATGTCACTGATCTGTGCCCTTAACCAGCAACTGGCCGTTGGAGAGACGCGACTCTTGCCATCAACATCGCTGTCAGGTGATGATACCGCGATGAAGCAAGCACACAATGCAGTAACACTACCACCGCTCCAGCAGAACTCCTCCATAATGCGACAACCAACCCTCAACCACCCAACCAACGAGGACTTCTTCAAAACGGTACTAATCTTTTGAACTTAAGCAGCATTCTGAATGCATTTCGACAAAATCCATACACTATAGCTGACTCGGATGCTTGCGTCATCACGGAGCGTTTGCTGTTCATTTACAAATTCTTCTTCATCCCCAAACATTTTCTGAATACATGTATGTGATATGCATGAGAACATCACGAATCCTTTCAATACATAATGTACATAACAGAATATGGCACGAAAGCAAGCCCTTAGCGCTCACCAAAAATCGATGCTCCCGTCGAAACGCTGTGATGAAATTAGAATTAGAGTTCTAATGCATGTTGTCGGTAAAATGCACACCATGCTGTTTGAGAGTTGAATAGTGTGGATATTCCGAAATGCATATTATGATTTCTAGATGTGCAACTGATAAACTTTAGTCTCGCTGAGCAAATGAGGGTTAGTATTCCTTGGGATCAGGAATCACTGCTGCACTGTTGTACAAACTTCTTGGACTTTAGACTCTGGCCACTAAAGCTGACCATTGAAAAACCGGCTGGTTTAGAAATAGTTACAGATTTCCCACTAAAATTCCCCATTCAACAGCATCAGTCGTGCCAAGTAAAGGCAGTCACTATTTCCCAACATACGGGATAACAACATTCTGTTGTCCCAACTCCCTGAAACTGCATTGATCTTCGGTGCATAATGTAACAAAATAATAATGATGCGGCTATGGTGGTACAATGAGTGCCACTCATGATGATGACATGTTACACAAGAGACGATAAAGATACAACGGCTTTTGACGTGGGGTGCCGTCGGCAGGCAAGCACACATAACACCACCTTGATGAAGTGCATGCTTGTGACCTGTGTGCGTCCATGTGTGTACATGATGGCCTGCATGCGTGCATGCATGTGTGTGCGTGTATGTGTGTGTGTGTGTGTATGTGTGTGTGTGTATGTGTGTGTGTGTGTGTGTGTGTGTGTGTGTGTGTGTGTGTGCGCGCGTGTGTACGTGTGTGTATGCGAATGTGGCTATTGTATCCTTATGCTTGATTCTTTTCCGCAGGTAAGTGCCGGCATACATGACCCTCTGAGAGACTTGCCCTACTCGTCAGCAGGCAATGACACCGCCGCCGGTAACTTTCTGGACCGAGGTAGCAGCAACGAGGCAGAGGCAGCAGCAGCACTCGCAGGCTTCTCGGGCATGCTAGCACCAGACCTGAGCGATGCTCTGCCACAGGAGCTTCACTTCATGTCCATTGCAGCTGAGCTAGCATTGCCGCAGGGAGCGGCGCAGTCATCTCCGCAGCAACGGGTAAGATGAGGTCTTAGTGGCACGGGCTAATCAAATGCGATTGCCCACTCAAGTATCATTGTATTCTCCAGCTGAATTGGCCATTCAAACCATGGGGATTCGAAAAGGAGGAGTTTGGGTTCTTACAGATGTCACAGTTGTGTCTTGCACAAGTTGTAGCTTCTAACCAATACCAGTAATTATTTGGAATACAATTGTACTTTGACTTGCACCCGGTGTTGTGGTGATTATTTATGTCTGCATTCCTGATACTCTTTATAGCTAAACATTCTAACCAATAGTAAGATCATCTTCAAGGATGCAATGTGGCTGTGTGCTCACTGCTCTAGGTGCTAAACACAGAGAGGTCACTAGCTGACAACAGTCATCATCAAGCCGGTATCCAACCCAGCACGTCTCACCCCGGCACGCACGGCCAGCCACTTCGACTCACTGATCCGCAACAATCATCACTCCATACCACCACCACGGCGGCGGCATCAGTCAGTCCGGGGGTGCCTGGGCAGGCAATGTCGACATGCAGCGCAACAAGTCCGCAGAGCTGTGACCAGGCTGCGTTTCTGGATGATAATCAGTCCTTGCTGTCCAGTCCTGCTTCCACCCAGGTAAGTGTAGAATGTCATCGGAACGGCTTGTGTTGCATAACCAGCGGTGGCTGTTAGTAAGTAGGCCGGCAGCAGCCTTTGGTCTTGGACAGCACATGTCAACGTGGGCCAGGGTTGGCCTGGTGCTTGGAGTATGTTACGTATCCCACAGGATAATGTTGGTACTCCAGTAAAGCCATCAGGATGCCATGCTGTGCACATCCACAATCATGGCAATGGTCTAGCTAGGATATACCGCGGGCTTACTTGACGATGATCTAGCTGTGGGTGTTCCTTGGTGACATCACGGGTCACAAAACACTATGGATTTCACTGGAAACATGTTACATCACCTGTCACTCATTAAACATGTGACTTACTACTCATTACTCCTCACCTGACTCAGTCATTTCATTATCATGTGATCAGCCATGCCATGTGATCAGTCACGTCATGTGATCAGTCACGTCATGTGATCAGTCATGTGACCAAGACACCCTCTCTATAATGGTCACGGGCAGAAGCTGTGATCTTTCATGATTTTCACATCATTCTTACCAGGCAGATGCTTTAAGTCCAGGCCAGGATTCCCTGGCAATGGGGCAGGAAGCTCATCACCACTTTGGCCACTTCAATGCAGTAATTCAAGTGATCTTTCCTGCTTCAAAGTAAGAGTATCAGGCTATATAATGTTACACATGTGTGTATGTGCAAAGATTATGACGATTTTTGCCTCTCATGCTTTCCCTCTAGGTGACCAGTGTTGATGGTAATGCAATGGAACAAGCTCATTACGCCATAGGATCACCAACAACACTTAGTTACTCCACAGCACAGAGCCAAGCATCCCAGCAAGCACTGCAAACTCAATCACAGCACCACCGCAGATCACTCACTACAGATGCTTCGCCGCCGACTCATGTGTCCATGCCTGGCCCGATTGGCCCGATCGGGTACAATAATGTGTGCATATCTGCAGCAGCTGCAACGGCTGCCGCTCTCTTGGCTGCCGACGTGCCGGCGATCGAGCAAATGGTGGACACCGAGATGCGCCTGTAGTGCAACTGGTGGACTTCGAGATGCTCTTGTAGTGCCGCTACAACCCCCGTGGAATACCTCTATGATCCCTGCCATTTACCATCACTGAGGGTCTCTTCTTGTGAGGAAATACTACTAGTTGGCAAGTAGTCACATGCCTGCCTCTACACTCCCATTCAAGGCTGGTACCACCTATGTATGTAGCACCTGTACAGGCTACCTGAAGTAACCGTACCTCGGCAAATGGCCGTCATGGAACTCAACATGATGGTTACTCTTAGCACACTTAGATCTACCCAGTTGTTTCTGGGGCTCAATTTGCTCCTTCCTTTGTTTCCTCATCCTATTCTATAATTATGCTACTAGTATTTCATACCGGTAAGAATGGAGAAAGATGGGGCAAGCTTATTGAAGTGGTGCTCTCGTGGACGAGGACATCGCCCGTATCACCAGTTGCCGATCTTAGTGATATGTTTCATACATTCCAACCGTGAACCATGTTTGTTTGAAAGACTATCTGACTGACAAATAATGCCATATTTAAAATGTACTAGAAGCCAGATTCGATATGAGAAACCTACTGATTTCCAATTGAACGACTCAATATTCCTGAGATGCTCGGCTATAGCACTCTTGGTGTCCTTCGCCATCAGACTGTGTTCAGCAAGTGTACTTGACTAGAATGTTGGTGTTAGCGACGGCTAGGCCTGGCCTGCCTGACTGCATGGCTGTATGTTGGCCGGCACAAGGCATGCGTGAAACGCAATGTACAGCTGAGCCCGAGATCCATGAACTACACCCACACTACAGGTGCTTCCTCCCACAATCATCATAATAATTATTATCTTTGTCGATGATTGTGCCTGAGTTCGACGGGTCATGCCCGAGTGTGGATACACTGGAGTAATAGGATGTTCTTAACGCACAACTCGGCCTGTGTGTATACTCTGATACAATGACGACTGCTGCTTATACTCCTGACCCAGTGACCCAATAGCATTGTGGGTGACGAGTCACCTTCCGAGAGAAACCAGCTGTCTTCTAACACTATCACTCCCCGCCAGCATCTCACTACTCGGTCTAGGATGCTAGAACATAGCACGAGCCAATGCAGCACCTCCTTTCAACAATCTGCTGGTGTGACACAGTGCACCCTGCCATGAGGACATCAGGAAATTGAGGACACTGATCTTTCAGCAGTTCCCCCTCCAGGTAACGGCATAACCGTGGCTACAAGTATAATACATTGTACATGTCGCAGCACAGCATACAAAACTGACATGCAAATTCATGCCTTTTAAAGTGTTTACTATCAATGTCATGGTGAGCTAATCTCTTGAGGCAAATTCCACGTCAAATCTCAAGTGTTCTCAGGAAATCCCCAAGTAGGAAATTTGCACGGTCTGGAACCTTTCATTTCCGCCCTGCGGCTGTCCCTGGATGATGGGACAAACATATCACAGTAGTGTGTTCCTGCTTCCTACACCATGCACACAGCTATGCCATGTATCTACTAGCACTATGTACAACTCCATTCAGTGGGTAACAGTAGGGTGCAGCTGTTGAGACCGTGAATCACTGAATGAGAAGAGTCATTACTTTATTACTGCTATGGTATCAATGATGCGAGCATATCCGGTTGGGAGAGGGTCTGGGTGCGTGTTTTTCGGGACCTGCAACTAGGGAGGTTCTGCAAAGCGACGCAAAGAATCACAAGAACTCTCTTCGCGTTCCCGTAACGTAAAGAAATCCTGTTCTGCTCTACGCTTCACGTAGAGAAATCACGTGGAATGTGTACTGGGAATTTCCCCTTCCATATTTGGTAGTTTTCTGCATGCAGTTGATCGATACCCAGCAAATCCGTACGAATTTTCTCTGCGTGTGCCACAACGTAGAGAACCTCATCTCCGCGTAGAAATCTGGAGCCAAAACACGCGAAGCCGTAGACTCTATTAGAGAGGTTAAGTTTCACGTAAAAGTCTTACGTCCGTGAACTTTTACGTCAAAAAGTGAAAAAACTCACGTAAAATTTGACGTGTTTTACGTGAGTTGACTGTCCCGCACGTAAGTTCATGACGTGAGTTTTTGGAAGTTTCGCTTGGTTATCCCGACCGAATTTGTGTGAGTTTCTGGAATTTTATCGAGATTTATCAAGTTTGTTGGAAGATTTGATATTTGTGCGAACTAAACCCGAATCCTGCCAGGCAAAATTTCACGTCACGTCGCACGTGTACCTTAACCTCTAAAAATTACACGTAACGTGAGATTTGCACCGCGTTTTGAAAAAGGGCAAAAAACGTGTAACTTAACCTCTCTACTATCATTTTCTGAACACGTACCACAAACATTTCATCATGTGACTTTCTTAGTGCACATTCGTAAACACATGAAATGGTGCCGTTGAAACAACACTACTACTAGAATAAAGAGGTGTATGCGTGTACATGTAGGTGCCCCATGCCCTCCCCATCCCACTTACACCGGGCCAAGTCCCCATCCCACTTACACCGGGCCAAGTCCCCATCCCACTTACACCGGGCCAAGTCCCCATCCCACTTACACCGGGCCAAGTCCCCATCCCACTTACACCGGGCCAAGTCCCCATCCCACTTACACCGGGCCAAGTCCCCATCCCACTTACACCGGGCCAAGTCCCCATCCCACTTACACCGGGCCAAGTCCCCATCCCACTTACACCGGGCCAAGTCCCCATCCCACTTACATCGGGCCAAGTCCCCATCCCACTTACACCGGGCCAAGTCCCCATCCCACTTACACCGGGCCAAGTCCCCATCCCACTTACACTGGGCCAAGTCTCCATCCCACTTACACCGGGCCAAGTCCCCATCCCACTTACACCGGGCCAAGTCCCCATCCCACTTACACCGGGCCAAGTCCCCATCCCACTTACACCGGGCCAAGTCCCCATCCCACTTACACCGGGCCAAGTTACTTACATGGCTCCAGACTGTACCTATGCTAAGGGATGTTGAACGACACCGAGGGACTGCAGGGGTGGTACTGACTGATACTCGAGTGGACAGACGACAGCAGCTCTTCATGTAGGTAGTAAGTATGGCACCGTGGCAACCATGCCCAAGTTTACTATTCCATTTATTTCCTTTTGATGTCCTTCGTGGGCGTGCCACTGTTCAACATGGCACATTGGCACCATCAGCTCAATGGAGAGTGCAATATCGTGAAGGTCTGAACGCGTGCTAAGGCCAATGATTGGCCAGTGATTGGCTGTCTACATGGCCACAGTCACGTGACATGCTTGTAGATCTACATCGCAACTATACTTGAACTATCTTATCCACCTCACCGGGATCTCTTTCCTCCATTTCCCCAGTTATAATTATGATTATCTTCTTTTCTGTAGTACCTTCAATTTTGTCTAGCCTAGTGCACCCAGCTAGCAATGACTTCGAGACCTAAAAGGTCGGCCGAGCTGGTCGGATCTCTCCGCCATTGCCGTTGTGCTGCTATCACTATACATCCATGCATGTATATATAATTATATTTCGCTCCTGCTCTTGTAGCAGTTGAGCACTCTTGCGTGAGGTAGTGCCTTTGCTGTTTGCGTTATGCAGAGCTCACTGACTTGTCAGTTTGAGCACTCTGGCAAGGTACGTTCGGGCATGGTTTAAATCTGGCTTTGGAAAATTTATTTTTCATTGCTACCAGGTTCGGCCTCATTTCCTCTGTGCTGAGAACACGGTAGGCGGATCGTGATGGATGCACTACGAGTACGTCCATACAATGTAAGTACAGTCATGTGTCATGTACATCTATCAGTCACTGGTCATCTAAAATGCAAGTTATGTTGATCAGTTAGCCACTTACCTCCTTGCAATAGGATGATACCACAGTCCACAGTCCACAGACTCGGTGCAGTGACCAAGGTGCGCGGATCGCCCATACACTAACAGTCATGTAGACCAGGATAGACATAGTCAACCACCCATCCAACTCCCGACTCCTCTGACCGTGTCCAACAAGAGTACTGTAGTGTAGGGTAGCTTGTTGGACCTCCACTAGACTCCACTCTCCAGTCAGGAAAGGCTACCGGCGTGCCATAACAATAACACAACAGAACATGTACGTCATGTACCGTACCCCCGGTACTGATTATATTACAGTGCATGTTTGACTGTTTTGTTTACTCTGGAACAGTTTTCTTCATCCCGGCTTGGCCTCAGTAAGTAAATGAAGCAATTCCACCTCACCACACACACACACACACACACACACACACACACACACACACACACACGCACACACACACACTCTCTCTCTCTCTCTCTCTCTCTCTCTCTCTCTCTCTCTCTCTCTCTCTCTCTCTCTCTCTGGCCGACCTCACGAACCAGCAGCACGACTCCAAGTTGTAGTATTGTAGACCGGCTTGGCCTATGAAAATCATTATTAGTACATTGGTGCACGGCATGGCATTATAGATGCCATTGTACTAGTACTAGAGGGCCTCGCTAGTTTTGGAGCTCTGGTTAGGACTCTGGTGCCAGAATCATTGCGATAATAATGTCTTTAGCTATCTTCTTCTTTGCGCTGTTTTTACCACCTCCTTACTGTACTTAATCCACTGTTCCTGTTCCTTTTCCCTTGCCTGTATTTCACCTGATGAGAAGGCTTGAAAGTAGACTTGTGAAAACAAAAACTTTCAAGATGTTCGTAATGAGCCTGAAGTGTGTCCTTTTTATGAGTATTAACAAGAGTACATAACCAGGTTATGTACTCTTGGTATTATCGCATTTTGGTTTCAGAGGAAACTGTATAATACTGTCTGTGGTCATACTCGTACTAGCGCCATTAGAAGTAGTGACTTGGGCGGTATAATAATAATAATAATTACTATTAATTAGCCTGTGATGAAGTTGGTTGCCCCTTATCATGAACTGACGAATTACAATTATTTAGACCTACGTGGTAACGCTTCCTCAGAATCCTGTTAGTTTTGACCGTGACTTGACTGGCTTACGTCAAGTACTGCCATCCGGAGCACAGAAGGAGACCGTTGCACTTACATCCGTTTCCACTGGGCAAACCAGTCTGCTACCTGCATGAAAGCTGCTTTTTAGCACCATTCCCTGCTCAGTGTTTCGGGGAATTCGCTCCTCGTTAGTTGCATGAGCCGCTCAGTTTGTTGAGTATGCTATCAAAAAGAGAGACGCTCTATTTCCAGCGCGACAAACACGACAAACACCTACTGACCTAGTACTAGTAGTACCGTACCTCGCCATCACGATTTTACGATGCCTGTGTAGATTTCTGGTCCTCAGGCTCAGCGCTTGTTCAGCACCTTACCTCAATGCTCCATCAATCATGAGCCGTGACTCACGCTGCTACATGTATCTGGTTTTCACAAGGTGTTTGTCGCGCTGGAAACGGAGCGTCTCTGTAAGTTTGTATCCCTGGTGATGTTTGTGCCTGGAGAGCACTACCGGTATTTAAAAAAATTATGTGGCCCACGCTCTTCATCTTCCTCAGCCTACTCAGGCCACCTCGGAGTACTCAAGTACTCAAGCTCAACTGATGAGGGGTGAATTCCCCGAAACACTGTGTATTGAGCAGGGAGTGGTGCTTCAGTTCAAGTTCTTGCAGGTTTGCCGAGTGGAAGACGGTTCGATGGACTTCTCGTATGTTCTGGATGGCAGTCCGCGGCGTGGGTCAGTCAAGTGAGAATCCAAGTCGGCAGGAAAAGCGCGAGCTCCCATGTAGAGCAACACACAATTCCCCAAGTATCGCCAATATTAGTGAAGTCGCACCAACCTCTTCTTCACGTAGATTTCTATGTCAGTCGTGTGTGTTGGCTGTTGACTGTTGTTTCTTTCTTGTAGAAGTCTGGTTGAAGATATCGAGGGCAGGAAAGGGGAATACCCTCTGACCTGGTGTTGTGTACTTTTGTGCACGTGAGTCAGATCATGCGATTGCACAACGCCCGGCGTGCACGCGCGTGCACTGCAGCTAGCAACTAAAAAATTCGAAAGTCGACCTTGAAAACAAGCAGTATCACTGTCACTGTGTGAATTTCTTTCAAGATATCACCACTTTCGCCACTGGGGTGCAGGGCTGATCCAGCAGGAATAACTTCTTTACACTTACATTTTTTGTAGTGGAAGAATTGTCTGTTGGTTTGTTGTGCACGAGTACTTGGTGCGTGTAGTTGGTGTTTCCAGTGCAGTGAAGTATCTTCATTAAAAAAATTGTTTTCAACGAGAGTCTAGAGAGGAGCTCGTAATTGATTTCTTAGAATATCCTTTCTGAGCTGTCACGTCAGTGTCTTTCGACCACTGTGTGTTCCCGAGGTAATCCATGTTCTACTCTGCGGAATACGTTCCTGGGAGCGGTCCACATCCAATCAACACCTCCTATTGTGAAGTCTGCTGCGCAGAGGTTGGCGCTCATGCAGAGTTCTGGCCAGCATAGCGCAAAATTCTGAACAATTGTTCTCAGTTCAGTGCATTCCCTGGCCTCAGTGTGGCACTGGCAGTGTGGGGCCTGGAGTTATTGTTCTCAGTTCAGTGCATTCCCTGGCTTCAGTGTGGCATTGGCAGTGTGGGGCCTGGAGTTGTGGCTACACCGTTCCTGCTCTGTGTGCTAGCTATTAGCAAACGCTATTAGCATGTGTAGTAGCAACACACAGGCATATGTGCTGGCGCTGCGTCCATGGACCTACGCACAGTCGGTGTTCCCTGCCGCACTCGGTGCCAGCATAGCGTACGCTGACATGCACGAAGTGCAGCTGCTCGCTGTGGTGCTGTCACTGCTAATTGTCCTCTCGGTACATTCTGCTGGTAATCTGGTGAATACGTACGACGATTACATACGAGGTGTGGACGATAGTGACTCGGCCGATGACCGTACTCTGGTTGACTCGCGCTTGACGGCACTGACCGTGCAATACATGGGCACGGGATTCTACATAGTTGGCCTGCTACTGTTCGGATGTCTGTGTCTCATCTCCAGGACGTCACCATTGTTGCTATCCTTCATGTTCTTCGGCGGCTTGTCCGGCTCCTTCCTCTACACACGTGAACCAGCCGTCTTGAAGCACATCGGCTGGGGAGATCTGGTGGTGGTGATCACGTTTGGTCCACTGACAACGCTCTTCACCTATCTTTCCACGGGCGGTGCTATCTATGCTGTACGATGGCTTGAAGTAGTAGTACTGGCTTTGCCAATGGCGTTCCTCACCGAGGCCGTCCTGCATAGCAAGCACACAAGAGACGGCGAGCGCAATCGCAAGCAGAAGCCAGCAACGCTCGCTTCGCTGTTGAACCGTGGCTGGTCGCATATCTGGTATTGTTTGATGATCTTTGTTCCCTATGGTTTCCTAACCGTGTTATCAGTCTGGTATTCCGTGCTGTTCTGCCTACCGTTTGTTACATTGCCTCATGCATTCACGATAGAAAAGGACTTCAGATTTGGTCGCATGCGATCAGTTCCACAACAAACTGGAAAATTAGGTGCCATTTTTAGCCTGTTGTATGTCCCAGTGTTTCTATATGTGTCCGTCTAGTTCATGAAGTGTTATGCTCATTCAACCCCCTCATCATCTCCCTTCAGTCTTCAGAGGTACACTTGACATACAAAATTATCACCACGAAATGGAAGATCATATTTAAAAAAAACTTTCTTTATTAGTTTTATATTTGAACAGGTGGCGAGCTCGAGGTGACAACAATTTTAAGATGGCAATAAACAGAATCAGCTGAAGCGACATGTTACGAAGGTTTTATTGAAATGTAAAGTGGTGATGGACCAAGAAATAACTGTGATGGAACTGTAATGTGAAAACAATAATAGGAACGAAGAAAAATATAAACATGCATCGAACTATGTTTCGCACAACGCTCATCAGGAAGCATCGTTGTACTAATTAAAAAATTGCAACACAGATTACTATAAAGGATCAATAGTGATATTATAACACCTAAACAATGCCAAAAAAGTATCACAAAGGTATTCTTGAACGATACCATGTGCGTGAAAGATAACAATCGAACACTCCAAAGGGACAAAATTCAAGATGAAACAACATTAGTGACAAAATTCTGGCCCAACACGGCCAGACAAACTGAAACACAACATTCTACTGGTTGAACAATTTCAAAAAGATAACACTCTCCTTTTGAACACAAAGGTCAGGCTTATGAATGCGTTGGAACACAGCCTCCAACACCTTCACCTGTAACTGACTGTCCCCGGGGAAAAAACGCGGCGTAATATGGCATAATTTGCGGTGAATTTGCGGTAAATATGCGGTGAATGTTATTGATATGCGGCAAGTTTGCAGTTGATATGAGGCAATTTTCAGTGAGTATGTAGTGAAATCAATCAGTTACAAGTCTCTGCTGTAAGCACTCGTCATATTTGAGTACAAAGCCGCCACGATGAGACGTTGCTGACCGAACAGTGCACTGTGTGTACCGTAGTTCCGCGCATATAAGCCCACGGGCCTATATCCGGATATAAGCCCACCTCTGTTTATAGGCCCATGGGCTAATAAACACACCCAAACACCGTTACGGACCCGTTTGTCAAAAGTATTTTTAGCAATACCGGTACAGAGCTGTTCTTGTTGATGAGCCAGAAAACAAGAAAGTGGAGGGTTAAAGAAAAAAGGAAATTGAAAAAGACACAAAACAAGTCCATTCCTGTACTCAAAAGTACCAAACGCGCTTGACCCCATGGACTCTTGACCGATAGTACAGCATGTCAGTGCAGACTACATTACCTGTACCGGTACCTACGGTAGGCGGACAACCGCGCACGGACTTGTACTTTTTCGCGTGCCAGCTGCCTTCAAAATTCGAATATAGGCCCAGGGCTAAAAAACGAACCATATAATACTGATTTTTTCCCGGAAATGCATCATTTTCGTATATTAGCCCATGGGCTTATATGCGCGGAACTACGGTACGTGTAGTGCAACAAAAAAGTTCAAGAACGCGGCCGCGGAATCGCGATTTTCCCCGGGGACAGAACTGATAACCATGACAACCACTGTTATGAACCCTCTAAGATTCTCTAAATTGTCAGGATCGTACGACCACACGGCACGAGGACAACTGTTTTCCTTTACACAGTATATTTCACTTCATCTGATAATTAACAATGAACACTAATAACACCAGCTATTTATAGCATGCAAAAACAGCGTACATGCAAAACATAAGCATATAAAACTGGACATAACAGCGTATACAGCAAAACGCACACAACGCATATAGCGTATGCCATGCAGCAACATCAGCGGTACGGCGGAGTCGAAATACAACATTTCAACGAATACAATGCCATAAGCGCGAAGGCCTTTCCCAATTGAGAACTGGTGGTTTACAACATTCTCCCCACCAAAGGGCTTCTCACCGCCGTACAACAATGCACACAAGTCAAAAACGATCCGGGGCTCTGACTACGCGCCCAGAACGGGTCATCTCCTGCTGCCGTGGTGGTGGTAACGGTGCTGACGGTTCATACGCTGGCTGCTGAGGGACGATAGCAGGTTGAGCGGTATCGGCAAGCCCAGGGGCCACGTCCTGTGACGATACTTCTAATGGCACTAACCTTTGGATCGGCCTCAACAGGGTACTGGTACTCAACTTAACCTTGGCAACACGACGCTTACCATCTCGACCAGGGAATAACTCGATGATCCGTCCCAAACGCCAGAACTGTTTGCGCTTGGTATCATCGAGAACAAAGACAACATCACCCATAGCTAAAGGGCGCGACATGGTCTGTTGGTGCTTGTTCAGCTGACTTAGGTACTCCACCTCCCAACGATTCTTGACATGCTCCAGTGTCCGACTGAGGTAACGCAATCTCGATGACATCTGCGCAGCGTCCAGGGTACCTGCTGGCTTCTCTGACGACATCCAGATGTTACCCATCATCATTGCAGGGGTTACTGGTGGCTCATCCAGGCTATCAGACACATAAGTTAGCGGACGACTATTCACCACTGCTTCAACCTCATACAAGAGGGTCTCAAGCTCCTGGACCTTCAGAAACGCTGTTCCCATTACCTTTTTCAAGGCACTCTTCACTGTACCAACCATTCGCTCATAGAAGCCTCCATGCCATGGTGCAGCTGGAGGATTGAACATCCATGGTACACTCAGTTTGTCAGATGCCGCCTTGAACGTTGTAGCGTTGTCAGACCTGATCCGAGACGGCAAACTACGTCTCGCGACAAACTTCCGAAATGCCATCAAGAATGACTCGGTACTTAAACTATCGACCATCTCCAAGTGAACTGCTCTGGTGGTGGCACACACAAACAATGCTATCCATACCTTCGGAGATGACTCACCACGGCGCACGTACAACGGACCAGCATAGTCGATGCCGGTAGTTGAGAACGGCCTCTCGTGAACAACTCGGTCTTCTGGCAGCGGCGGGCAGACTTCTGAGGCAGCCTTAGCCTTGTAGCGGCGGCATGTAACACATCGCTGAGTAATGTTGCGTAGCGCTCGTCGACCACCGATAATCCAGAATTTCTGACGGATGAACGACAAGACTCCTTCTACACCTTGGTGCATCCTTTCAACATGCTTTTTCTCCAACAGCAACTCGGTCAGATGATGTTTGCCTAACAGGACTGGGTGCTTGGCTCCATATGCCAACTCGCTGTGCTGAAGTCGTCCCCCGGCTCTGAGCACTCCATGCTCATCCAGAAACGGTGCAAGCTGATACACCTTCGACCCGGGCTTCACTGGTTGACCTTGCTTGATCAGCTCAAGATCCTCAGCGAAACATGCGGCTTGAACGATGCGGTACAATACGTTGTCTGCTGCAAAATAGAGTTCAGCACGAGGCTCAGTGTGCTTCCACTGCAACATCCGAGTCACCATGCCCTGTGCCCTCGACCATTTACTGAATCGGAGCCACCATTCCTTATCAGATTCTCGACTACAGGTGGTGGCTGACACTCGTACTTCTACACTGGACTCATCTGTAGCTGCGGTTGAGGATGCAGTGGGCCAGTCATTGGGCTCCGTGATCCAGGTTGGTCCGCCCCTCCAGAACGGACTACGGATCTGCTGTGCACTACTCCCACGCGACGGTAAATCTGCTGGGTTGTGAAGGCCCGGGCAATGGTTCCACACAATGCCGACCTTCTTCGATATCTCTTGGACTTGACTGACGCGGTTAGCCACAAATGTTTTCCATTTGTACGATGGATTACTGATCCAATGAACGGTAGTGAGACTGTCAGTCCAGCCATAGACTTGCGTGACGGTCACACGCAGCTCCTTCACCACAAACTCAGCGTAGCGAGCCGCTAGACATACTGCTTGTAACTCAAGGCGGGCTAACGTGGGCGGAGACACAGGTGCCACTTTGGCCTTGGCAAATACCAAGTGCGACTGTCCATTGACGACTGCATACAAACAACATCCAAACGCTTTCTCACTGGCATCGGCGAAGGCATGAAGCGCAATCGGCGTGTCAAGATTGCAGCAAATCCAACGTGGTATGTCAATGCTCACCACTTCGGCCAACTCTCCCCACCATTGCGCACATGCGGCTGCGATGCCATCAGGCAACATATCATCCCAGTCGCCTCCGACTTTCCAGGCTTGCTGTAGCAGTATCTTTCCCGGCACAACTGCCGGTGCTGCTAGACCTAGCGGATCAAACACTGATGCAACACACTTGAGGAGGGATCGCCGGGTCCAAACAGACGGCCTATCGGACTCGCCTAGCGCTGCTATGCTGAGCAAGTCATCACTGGTTTTCCATTTCAGACCGAGGACTTTATCTCCGGCCTCTGGATCGCACGGGATTTCGTTGCCTCGCCACTTGCGTAACTCCATGCCAGCATCCGTAAGCACACGCACGCTGAACTCTTGCATCTCCTTGGCTTCCGAGGCATTTGAGACACTAGAGACCAAATCGTCAACGTAGAAACTCGTGAGCAAGAGATCAATACGATCTCGCTCTTTGGGTGCAGACAACGCCCGTAGCTCCTTCAAGTGATGCTGAATCACCGCAGTAAGCATGTACGGCGAGCAGTTTACGCCAAATGGCAGTTTCGTTAGCCTCCAGGTTAACAGTTCATCGCTGTCGCTTCGACCGGGCCACAAGAAACGCAGGTACGGACGGTCTTCGGGATTAACCGCGACCATGAAGAAAGCCTTGCGGATGTCCGCTTGCAGCGCGCTCTTATATTCACGGAACCGTAATAGCATACCTGCGAGACTCGGCAATAGCGACGGTCCAGGGTCAACCATGTCGTTCAACGACTTGCCATCTGGCGCCGTCGCCGAGGCATTGAACACCACTCTTAACTTCGTGGTTGCAGCGTGCTCGCGGAATACACCATGATGCGGTACATAGTACCCGGCATCGCTCTCACATGGCTCCAGCTCAATTGCTCCAAGCTCGCGGTACTCCCTGATCAGCACATCATCATAGAGCGCACGCTTCCCATTCCTCTTCAGCTTTTCAAGAAGCCGCGTTGCGATGACTCTAGCTTGAGCATAGTTATCCGTTGGGCGACGCTCATTTCGCCACAAGAGACCCACTTGGTACCCGCTGCCCTGGCGACATAGCGGGAAAGATGGCAGGTGCTGATGTTGTTCTGGAGGTTCATCCAACTGCCATAGTTTGTCGATGTGGGCTGTGATACATGACACGGTCACCGGCTGACTGTTACGACTTGGTGCAGACGCTGGACCAGATAATACATTACCTATCTCTGTGTTCCACACCGTCTCACCATTAACTTCCTTCTTGCTGTGCAGTACCGCGTTGATATAGTCTGCACCAATCAGCATATGTATTTCGTCTGATGTCCCTTGTTGAGGCTTGTCACTCAGCTCTACTCCCCAACTGTGCCACTGCGCAATGGTCTGCGGACTTGCGCACTTCAGGTCCAGCTCAAGCGTTGGTTTCACGAACGCGCGTACCCGAATGCTAGCGGAGCTACCCTGGATCGTGATGGCGTACTTATCCATGCGCTGTTGGGTTGGTTCCGCACCGAACGGCTTCACCTCTACATTTTCAACCCCAACGTGTTCTGCATCGATTGCTGACACCAACGCTGCAGTCACGAATGACGCCTCAGCACCCGAGTCCAGGAACACTCGAACCTTCGCGTTTCGAGTTCTTCCCTCAACTCGTGCCACTCCGGTCATCAGCCGCACACTTGGCGAGTGTAGACAGCACGACCCAACATTCTTCTCCGTAACTATCTCAGTCGGTTTCTCCCGGCTGTAACCTGCTCTATCCAACACATCATGTATTAGCAGGTGGTGTTTCCTCTGGCATTTCGTGCATCTCGAGCCTGACCGACATTCTCTGGCCATATGGCCATACTTAAGGCAGTTCCAGCAGAGTCTCTCTCGCTGCAGAAAACCCTTTCTCTCTTCCTGTGGCAGCGACTTTAGCTGCTTCTCTGCATCTGCGACCGATATCGCCATGCACTGGGCCGACGCCGTGGGCCTTGGCACGGATCGTTCTACTGGCTTCCTGGCAGTATCACCCCGTCGTCCGTGCGCGACCTGGTAAGACGCGCCGTGCTCCTGTACCTGGCGCAGTGACATCCCGTAGCACTGCCGTTCGACCAGGTACGTCTTCATCTCAGGTCCGCATTGCTCCAAGATTACCTGCTTTGCCATTGCTTGCAGCACCGGGGCCATTTTACCTATATCGGCGCTATACTTGGTGCCCACCTCGCCATCTTCTGTCATAGCGAGTGTGGCCCACACCTCTACCTCTCGGCAAACACGGACAACGTATTGATGAAACGACTCATCTGACCGCTGCTTGCCTGTCAGCAATGTCTTCCACGCTTTATCCGGAGTCTTTCCGAGCGAGGCAAGCAACTCTCGCTTTGCTTCCTCGTAATTGTTGCATCCAATACATATCCTCTCCGCTTTGCTACCCGCTAGCGCGATGCGCAGTCGCAGCAGCCATTCGCTTTCTTCGAACTCGTTCTTGGAACAGATGTCCTCGAACAGGTCAAGATAACGCTCCAATGGCTGCGTTCCATCATATGAGGGGATTTTCATCAACGGTTGACGCCCCCCGCTGTGACTGGGAGATTCCTCTGTACCTCCCATCGCGGCTTTACCCTCACCCTCATGCGCATTGGCGATGCGCTCGTTAATCTCGTTTAGTGTTTTGGCAAACTCGGTGCGGAGCGCCTCCTCTCGCCGTCTGGCACTGCGCTCCTCACGCTCCGCGTACTGTTGGAGCCTCTGCTCCACATGTACCTTCAACAACTCGCCTTCTAATCCTAACCGCTCTCCATTGTCGATAAAGCTGGCTTCCAAATTGTTCCATAGTTCCTCTGCCATGCTCGCTCCTATCCTGGCGTGGTCGCCAAATGTTATGAACCCTCTAAGATTCTCTAAATTGTCAGGATCGTACGACCACACGGCACGAGGACAACTGTTTTCCTTTACACAGTATATTTCACTTCATCTGATAATTAACAATGAACACTAATAACACCAGCTATTTATAGCATGCAAAAACAGCGTACATGCAAAACATAAGCATATAAAACTGGACATAACAGCGTATACAGCAAAACGCACACAACGCATATAGCGTATGCCATGCAGCAACATCAGCGGTACGGCGGAGTCGAAATACAACATTTCAACGAATACAATGCCATAAGCGCGAAGGCCTTTCCCAATTGAGAACTGGTGGTTTACAACAACCACGACACAAAACGGAGAAACATGAATCAGAATACACTTGGCAACATTCAGGACAAGATACCAAATGACTATACACAGAAGACTTACGAGGTCGAAACACACGCCCACACTCACTCTCACAATCTCCCAAACCGATATTTTTTCATCGTTCCTATTATTGTTTTTCACATTACATTTCCATCACAGTTATTTCTTGGTCATCACCACTTTACATCTCAATAAAACCTTCGTAACATGTCGCTTCAGCTGACCCACTGTTGGATGTGTGGTGTCAGTGGACAGTGAGTGTGCATATCGGCCTGCACCATACCTGCACCATACCTGCACCATACCTGCACCATACCTGCACCATACCTGCACCATACCTGCACCAATAACAGAAAGCTGGTGGAAAGGGTGGTACCGGAGCAATGTTTGTGCTTAGATGTGCCGTGTTCTACGATAAGAATGAATGCGATGTCCAAGACACACCAGAGATTCAGTAGGCAATAAGTTCCAGGCGGTGTAACAGAGAGGTTGTCGACATTAAAAAAAAGAAGAAAAAAAGAAGCAGTACATGTACAAGGTTGATATACTATAACTGTACTATATGTTGAAGTCCTGTTGACAACAAAACCAATACCACGGCGAAGACGAGTAAGGAGCAGCAGGGGCGTACTGTCTCAATGCCATAGTGCATTGTAGATTTCATACCCTGTGTAGTACATACACTGTGTACAGTGGGAGATGCTGGATCAGAATGAGTGAGGATCAGAATGAGTGAGGATCGGAATGAGTGAGGTGCAGCTTTGAGTAAGTTACTGATAGGAAGAAAGAAAATTAAAATATTCACATCTGGGGTCCCCCCTAAAAATAAAGCGAGTATTGAGAGAGATACATTACGGGAGGTCCAGATTTATCACGGTCTATTCCTATCCTCAAAGGTCAATACAGTAACCATTATCGGTGTCTTCAAGGCCAGTTTAAAAAGCATGGTTAAGGGGGTTAGTCTGTACGAAATACTAGACGTCCATTTGGCATGTGTGTGCGTGTGTGTGTGTGCATGTGTGTGTGTGTGTGTGTGCGTGCGTGCGTGTCCCCTGCTGGGGTAGGGTGACAAATAGGGTTACTGAATTGTTAGTTTTGGATCCCACTCTGGGATGTGTCATGACACTGAGCGAAAGGAAATCACATTCCTCCCCAATTGTTATCCTTGTGCATTGCTACACATTCAAGGATATATTTCCCTTCTTTATAGCGCTGAGAAGTAGGCTGGGCTCTGACCTGTGTAATCAAATACCACACAACACAATAAAAGTACATTATGCCATGTACAATGTGTGCTGGTCTGGAGTGTACTACTGCCAAGAATCCATAATCCCCCAGAGTGCGCAACTTCACTGATCAGATCTGGGACGGCGAAATCCGTGTTGCATGTCATAGTGTGACATCGTGAGTAGGGGAAGTGTTTCCATGGTGGACCGCGTCGACGGAATGACGCAAGTCCGGCCCAAAAAATGACGTACGTCATGGATTACGCCGTCCCACAACTCCATCCCAGTTGCGCGCTTTGGGGGATGATGGACTCTTGCTAGCACCAAGAGTACATAAACCAGAGTGTGCAACTCTGGATGGTTCCTGTGGGAGCGTAATTCGTGCAGTACGTCATTTCTGACGGCATGGTAAGCCACAGGTACGGTGAAAAGTTGCGTAACCAGTCATGGTGGTGCAGGTCACTGAGTTTGTCCAGATTTCGGTTTTTTGATACGGATAGCCCGGTGACTTTACTTGTCGGTGGATGTACACAGTCACACAAAACACCGAAATCCTGAACCTGGACGTCTAAAATCAAGCAAACTTGGCTGATTTCCGGGCTATGAAACATGGAAATTTGAGCTGTACGCAAGTCGCGGCTTGGCTGACCTCATCAGGGTGACATAGTGCACGAACTACGCTGTTTCAGATCTGATATGCACAGTTGCACACTCTGGTTTATGTACTCTTGCTAGCACCAAGAGTAAATGAGCTCCCACGAGTGTGCAACTCTGCATATGGGGTCTCCGGCGGCGAAAGCTCACATCACGTGCTCCAAGTAGGATTTGTACTAGGTGCAACGAAGGCCAGCATGCGCACAGTCTGAGTATCTGCCATAATCATGCTGATGATTCGCATAGGCTGAGTGGGTTTCGGTCAGGGAGTTCAATTTCAGCCAAAATTATTACTATTCCATTTGTCACTAAAGACAACAGGAACACTGCAACACATGATGTGAGTTTCACCGTCGGCGGCGGATCCCGTAGAAAGGGTATCTAGAGCGGCACACTCTTGGGAGCTTATGACAAGCTATGCACGCTTGCTAGTACAAGCCATAAATTGTACAGTCGTCCCTCTCTAATCCGGCACCTTTCGCAACAGAATTTTCTGCTGGATAAACAAGGGTACTAGATTATCAAATCCTACCCTCCAACCCGGCCCACCTATTAATATTCCAACCCGGCCCACCTATTAATACATGTTTGTGCCGTATGTCAAAATGTAGGGATTTTTTGTGTCAATCCAAGTACATGTACTTTGTGGAATGCATGTCTACATGTTTAACATGCCATGTCTACATGTATAACATGCACTTGGGAATATCCTATGCACTGACCAAACTGACACAGCTGTGCACCGGTACGGTATGCGATGTACAAGTGCTGGATTAGAAATCGAATTATGTACAGTTTGAGTGATTTGTTGCACAAATTCGCTGCTGGAGGCGGAATTCAAGTGCCGGATTAAAGCGTAGAAAATGAACTGAAAAAATTGTTTGCCAGAAAGTGTGCTAGTTTGCAAGGGTGCTGGATAAACAAGTGCAGGATTACAGAGGGACGGCTGTAATAATTTCAATTTCACAATCTTCTGCACGGTATCATATGTGCGGTGTCTGCGGTGACAGAACTACAACGTACCTCAGGGTACGGTCAATAATATTAGCTAAAAAAAGTACCCTTCTGAATGTATTCTTTTTATCACAATCACCAATACATGTACTTCGAAGTAAAACAAACCCCACCCACCAGCCTTCACGTGAAATATAATATCTTTCAGCTCGCCGTGTTTATCACAGCTAGACCACTCTGACTTTGATGCGTTGAGCCGCTTTAAACAAAAAATGCTTTGTCGTTCATTAGACTTCATTGCGATCGGTTTGCCCAGTAACTCCGAGCTTCGCTGACAAGATTTAATAAGATTGAAACAGCTAGCTGTCCGGGGATTGAGTATTTTGCTCCTTTGACTCGACTTGGTTGAGCATAAGAAATATGGACAGCCATTCACTTACATATTTCCATCCGACGGCCGCTTCACAACCTTTGCAATGGATGTTGCAGATGTGATGTGTGCCACTGAGCAGCAGTTTTTCCTCGATGGGCCCAGAATACACGTTTACCCTTCACAGTACAACACAACACAGCACAGCACAGCACACACACACACACACACACACACACACACACACACACACACACACACACACACACACACACACACACACACACACACACACACACACACACACACACACACACACACACACACACACACACACACACACACACACACACACACACACACACACACACACACACACACACACACACACACACACACACACACACACACACACACACACACACACACACACACACACACACACACACACACATATAGCTCACTGACTTGTCAGTTTGAGCACTCTGGCAAGGTACGTTCGGGCCTGATTAAAATCTGGCTTTGGAAATTTTATTTTCATTGCTATCAGGTTCGGCCTCATTTTCTCTGTGCTGCGCTGAGGAGTTCACAAAGAACGAAACAGCATGCTGTCCGCAGATTGAGTATAATTATATACTCTTATATAGACAGACGTGTCAAGCTATACAATGCATTTATCACACCAATACTCCTGTACAATTGCTCAAGATGGGCAGTCCCAAGCAATGTCATCAAGCGATTGGAAGCATTCCACAGACGTCAATTGCGAACAGTCGTCGGGATCAAGTACCCTCAAGTCATCAAAAATAGCGAGCTGTATAAACGCACCAACTCCCAGCCCCTAGGGGAAACCATCGTGAGAGCGAGGTGGCGGCTCTTTGGCCATGTCCTGAGACTAGACGACGATGTACCAGCACGCGTTATGATGGCAGCATACTTCGAAAACCCAAGTTCCGCTGCCACCTGGCGGGGCCGGCCACGTACCACTCTGCCACTGAGTCTGCACCAGGACCTGCAGCGTATCGGGGGGTCACTCAAGAAACGCGAGGAACTTGAGAACCTCCATGCCATCGCCCAGTCACGACAAGACTGGAAAGACCTATGCAGCAATGTGATAAAAGCATACATCAAAGCCTGATACTGCTTCCACCTGTGGCAGCTGCATGGCTGTACGTTGTACCATAACATAAGTTCATTGGCTAACATATTTTTTGAAAATATTATCCTGTAAAAGAATAGGAATGTAAACAATATACCTGTGAAAAGAAAACACAACCTTTAATGCTACTAACACAACCTGTGACTACAATAATGATGAGATCAACCCCAAAACATTTCTTGCAGTTTACTTTCGTAGAGTTTGCAACTTTGTGTTCCTCAACACAACTTGCAGCTTTCTTCAAAAATATCCTCAACCTTGGTTCTGTCCTAGATCGTATATACATGCATTCATTGTTTCGTCTCATCATTATGGAGCAGCTTATGCGAAGGCTAGCCAAGCTTGCTTGGCGATGCCAACGCGGAAAAGCCTATAATAATAATAATAATGTAGAAAGGAAAAGGACATATGGATACGAGTTAAGAGTAACTCGCCATCACTGTAACTGGATACTATATACAGTAAGAAAGTGCAATAACTAGGCACAAAACTGACAAGAGTACTGAGACATTCGACGTCCTGACACCTAGCTTCAACACATCTCCGTAGCGCTAACTGACAGCCTTCCAACTTGGAAGGTTCAAGGTTATGGAAAGACCAAAGAGGGGAAGGCAAGCGCAACGAAAACGAGCAAAAGCTACAGTCCCAACGGAACAAAGAATGTCGATTGTTACTGGACGATGACGAGACCAGTACAATATTTGACAAAGCGGTCTAACTACAATTCGAAGCAGCAAAGCAGCACACCACTAAACTTGGGTGGGTCATAAATATCAAAGATAAGTAAAGAAAGGGGAAGCTTTGCGAAAAACGAATTGTACAAGCCGAAAGCCAAACTCCTACAGTACTCCTCATGCATGACATTGTGATGGACTAGTTGACTACAAAACAAGTTGTTTCACACGACGTACGTTTCGCCGTATGGTTCGTGACGGCTCATCAGGTGTGCAATTTGAAACTCGGATGTTGAGCCATAAATAAATGTAGAAAGGAAAAGGACATATGGATACGAGTTAAGAGTAACTCTCCATCACTGTAACTGGATACTATATACAGTCAGAAAGTGCAATAACTAGGCACAAAACTGACAAGAGTACTGAGACATTTGACGTCCTGACACCTAGCTTCAACACATCTCCGTAGCGCTAACCGACAGCCTTCCAACATATGTATAAATGAAACCTTAGCTCTCCATCTGAATAATAATAATAATACTTGAAAATAATACTCTCAACTCGTATCTATATTTCCTTTTCCTTTCTACAATAATAATAATAGTTGACATATATTATGAATAATAGTTGACGTCATCAGGTCAATAACTCAGATGAAATAATAATTACACTCTAATAAGTTACATTGGTTTGCGAATGCCCATGGTTCGAACTATTAGTTGAAGCACCTATTTGCAGAAAATAATAATATTATGATCATAATATTAATCACTTGCCAATAACAAAGACAACAATAATACCATCAGCCCCCATTCACCGGTTTTGACGGTGCTTCACTGATGTTGAATGAGAAGAATTATATTGCTGCCTTCAGTGCTATTGTGTTGCTGAAGGGCTGGATTTTGTTTTCTGATTTAGCTCTCTTGCTATTACTGTACCTGCTTGTGTTAAGTCTCATTCTCGCAGATTAGTTGTATAATAGATTGTACATGCATCATTGTAGATTTGCTGTTCACAGTATTTCTCTCTTTTTTCTTTCTTTTTTTTCAGTCTTCCTTATTACATTTTCTTCACATACAACAGCAGTACTCCCCATGGTCTTAAATGACCCGGGATGCTGCATAATACAAACACAAAACCAATAAAGCCACCCCCATAATAATAATAATAATAGACACCCTTAGCAAAAAACGTTATGTTCTAACGGTATTATCGTAAGGGGGAAAATACCGTGATTTGGGTTCCACCTTTAGCAAGATGCACGCTCTTTTTAGTACGCTGTTGCCACGAGAGTAGCTTTGATTTCGCGCGGTACAACCATTTTTGTCACCATATACGCGATACAAAGTGAAATGCGTACGGACTATGCAATATTTGGCCAAAACACGTACCGTTGGTCACAACGATAAATCAGCCCCCATAACGTTTATACGCTGCAGCTTCAACGCTATTTGGGTAATCAAGGTACGAGTACCGTAAAAAAAATAGCGTTATCGTTGTTTGCTAAGGGTGTCTAATATATAAATGCATCCACGTTGGAGAATAGTCAGACCAGTACACGTCGACAGATGCCTTTTTTCCGCTGAAGATAGGTATTAACGGTGTTTTGTTCTGTAACTCAACATTTCACTGGGAGCGGAGTACTACAGGCAATGTCATGGCATATGCAGCATAGGCTATAATAGGCTATGATAGGCTATGATAGGCTTCGTGTGACTACAAGTAGAGTAACAACGCAATTTTTGAGCTACAGTAACTTGTAACGGCAACTATCTTTTGGGCAGGGGAGGCACCCTGGGCAGGGGAGG